TTATTTCCTTATAGTTATCTATTTCAGTTTCTACATCAATTTTAAGAAATATGTCTCTTTTACTTACTTCATCCTGCTTTAACTGCCGTTTAAGCTTGATAAGTGAACTTTGAAATGTCAATGCCATTTAGGCTTTTAAAAGGCCGATGTCGAAAAACCAAATGTAAATTTTTGCATTCATTGCAAGCTCACCAAATGCCTGTGTGTGATTACTACCTCCGACGAATATGCACAGAAGAAAACTGCCAGTTTTTGCATGTAAAACATGCTGATAGTGCGAAACCTTGCGATCAATTCAACCGAGGCATTTGCAAACTAGGAGATGATGTGACCTTTCTTATTAACCTTCTTTTGATTTCTTTAACCTTTCGATGTGTTCTGCTATTTTACATCAAAGCTTTTTTCGTCTTTGTTACTGTTAGTGTTACGCACACGATTCGCAATACATTTTCGATCTTTCGGTTACGATTTAGAAGCCCAAAACCGGTAGCTTCTCTTACGGTATGAAGAGCGGATGAAGTCAAATTTATGACTGTTCATATCAGTGGGATGAGAAACACTACCTCCTTATTACATCAAGCCTTCTTTTTGAATTCTAGTCTTGCAGATTTGTGAATTTATTTAAGGAGGTTTGTTTTTGTAGTGCCCGTTTCCACATCGTTATTTTCGTGCAGTCATCGCAAAACGAGGTGCAGAGACGACGTCATATGAGTTGAAAAGTACTGGAACGTAGGGTTTACGTTTATCGTTCTACGATACTCAAGGAGATTTATACTTCTTCAAAACAATCAAAACTCGTATTGTTTTAGATTTACTGACGATGATGACGAAGTAGGCGATGAATTGGAAGACAGTGGCGGTGTTTTGTTATGGCCAATTTGAATGTAAGTTTTTTTTTTTTTGGAGACTGCATATCTTTTTGGACCCCTTGGTTGCGTGAAAGAATTGTGATAAACAGTTAACGCTTTCTGAATGTGCAGTAGGTTTTCTTTTGAGAATATAACGAATCTATGTTTCCTGCGCGTTTCTTCATTGATATGACGGTTTTTAACCGTAGAGAGACTGTTCACCATTTCCAATTGACTTTATTT